TTTACCAATAGCAATAGGATTAAGAAATCTTCCAATACGATGAGCTAAAACTGGTCGATAACGTCGAAGTAAAAGTCCAGTTAATGCTGGAATACATAATGATATTAATGAAATAAACATATTCCACCATGGAAATTTAACTTGTTTAAAATCTATATAATTTTTTCCAAGTATCCATACCCAAAATGGAAATGTACCAAATGCAAATGTTGTTGACATAAATGTTAATGTTACTGATAAATCAACATCACCAGAAAGTAATGCTGTATATATATTTGATGAACCACCACCTTAACAAATATATTTTAACATCAATTATACTTATATTTATTAGAATAAATCGATATAGAACACAATAAATTAAATTAATCAATTTATTTTATTTAACAAATATTTAATAGAATGATTAGAATTTTGTTTAAAAAAACATCAGCAAGTATATTAATTGATCAATATTATTTTTAGAATATTAAAAATTTACAATATGATCGGAAAGAAATTTATCAAAAAATAGATAAATATTATTATCATAGATAACATGCATAAAGATTTCGTTTTTATTTTTGTTTAAAAAAGTAAAAATAAATCTATAAATAAAATAATCTTACCAGGACTTGATGCTGTTGAAAGTAAACCTAAACTTGTTGAATTATCTAATTGAAATATTTTTTTAATAATAAATGATAATAATGGTAAATAAATAATTTGACATATAAGACCAACAATTAAAGGTAATGGTTTTCGAATATTTTTAATTAATTGTTCCATTTCTAAACCACATCCAATACATAATATTCCAGTAGTAACAAGAAACATAACAACAGATGTAAATAATAAATCAATTATTGTTTGATGTCGTTTTACAGCTATATTTATTGTTTGTCTTAATATATAATATCCATTTTCATATTTAAGCATTTGACAATTTTCAACAATTTCATTATGATTTAATGATGATTTTGAACATTTTATTTGTTCATATGTACCATTATTTATTGAATATTCAATTGATCTAGTTTTTATTTTTTCAATATTGATTATGATCAAACAGAAAAAGAAATTTACCTATAATCAGTTTGATTTTGTAAATAAAGTTGAATTGTTAATGGTGCAAAACCAATTAATCTTGCATATGCTGTTATATTAATATGATGTGTTTCAATAAAATAAGTTAAATTAAAAATACTTAAACGTTTAAGTAATGGATTTAATAAAGAAATATTTCGTACAATTATTGATGATGGACAATATTTAAGTTGACCACTTATATTAAATATATTTCGTTCATATACATCACGATATATATTTAATTTATCAACTTTATCAAATTCAATATTACAACTGAGATTTAAACCAATATTTAATAATAAAATAAAAGAATAGATATTTTGTCTCTTCATTTATTCAAAACAAAACACATCTGAAAGATAAAAAACAAGGAAAAAAAAAGATTTTTATTTCTAAGATATATCTATCAAGAGATTCTACATAGAGGAAAAACAAAATAATGATAAATGTTTGTTTTTTTATTGCTCATTGTCACTATTAGGTATTGCTTCATAGTCTGATCTATCAGGTTCATTATTTATATTTGTTATTAATGTATTATTTCCATATCGTTTTTGAATAGATCGATTAATAATCATACATATATAGATAATTAAAAGTGGAATTGGAATTGCTATTGCTACCTAATATAACATATATAGAATTAAATAGAAATATTTATTTATTTATTATAATACATACAAATATTGGTACAATAATAGCTAAATCACGATCAGGTTCAGGAAGTGATAAACGAAGAAAAAATATTGATACACCTGTATTTTGTAAACCTTTAACAAACAAAAAATAACAATTTAAAGAATAAATTCTATTAGTTATTCAATCAAAAAAAATGATCGAAATAATATCATAATTTGCTTTTTTTTTTTTAAATTTGTTTGTTCATCTGTTTTCTGTCTAAACTTTTTAGTATAGAGACATAAATTTTGATTTCTACAAAAAAATTCAATTTAAAAAAGAAATCTGCTTGAGAATATATTATTAAAGTAGATTCATACAAACCTTTTACAAGGACAAAATAAAGCAAAGGATATATGCGTCACTGACTCGTTCTTTTTTTTTCCTTCTTCTTCATTATTAAAGAACAAGAAGGTAAATGAGTACTTTTCTTTTTTTTTTTTTTGTTTGAAAAAAGACGTAATTCTTCTGATGATGGTATATGATAACCTTGATATGAAAAAAATTAATTGTTTTTTTTTTTTTTGTTAAAATAATATAATCAAATAGAATAATAAAATCTTATGCGAATTACAAAAAATTGAATAAAGTAAATAAACTAAGGTTATTATTTTGTATCTTACTTAGATAGTCTCAACAATGAGTCAAATAAAATAAAAAACTCGCGAATGATTAAATCTGATCAATCAATTTGATAAGTAAAGAGAAGGTATATCGCCTTGTCCACGTAACGTGAGTTTCGAATAAATTTTTTTTTCAAGTTAAACAGATTTGAATGGGCTACTAGACGCAATTTTAATGCTGATTACGAATTTGAAATTTGATTTTGTAAAAAAATCAAATTTTCTGACCAAGAAAGTTTTTCAAAAAAATGCCAAAAGACATATCATTCGATGCAGAATTTTATTCTCTACAAAAATAGGCTATTTAGTTTTGACTTTGGTAGTTGAGGACACCTTGTAGACTCTTATATAGATTCCCACATGCTGTTCAGTTTTTGAACTTCCATATCGATGAATCAATCTGATTCTTTCGTAGAACGCTTAGCTACATAGAAAAGACTAACCCATACAAAAATCAAATCATCTTGATCATGTTAAGTACCTCAAAAATGGTTGACAAAAAACTGTGTCACACCGTTACGTTTGTATTTTTTACGTAAAGAAAAGATGTTAGGACAGCGCCTTTCGCAGAAAATCGCAGCTTAAAGACAAACACTTTAAATTTAGGGTCCGTTTATGTGACTCCGTTACGTAATCAAAAAATCTTGCCAGATACTCAAGAGATCGACGGAAACTATTCATTTTTATAGCATGATGAGCTGCATCGAATAGTGCTTGAACGAATTTTCTAACTCCTAAAATTCTCGAGATACTTGGAAAAACGTAACATCGTTATGCTTGGACAAGCCGATATATATGTTAACAAAAAAGTATACATACCACTTTCAATTGAAATAGCAATAAGACGTTGAATATTTTGTTTTGTTATTAATGACATTATTAATCCAATAATAAAACCAGAATAAGGTAAAATAGCACTTACAATAATTGTTTTATAATCAATTAATTTAAATACATAAAGATTAGTATAAACTCCAAATGTTAATATATATAATATAAATATTATTGTTAAAAATCGAAGATATTTTGTAAAACGATCAGCTATTGATGGTTTTATAGAACGAATTAATAAACCAAAACCTTTTTAGATTTAAAATAATTCTTTTTTATTACTTAATAAAAAAAACAAACAAACTAATCTCTTACTAGCTGGTATAACAAGAGACATAAGTGTAACAAACATATTTTCCCATCTTAAAATAAATAGAAAATATTCTTAAAATATAATTAATATTCAAACATACGGAAAATGAACATTATGTGTATCAATAAATTCTCTTGCCAATAAAAGTATCCATACAGGAAATGTACCTTTTAACATAGAATATATAATATATTAAGAAATAAAGAAAAAAACCAAAAACAAACCAAAAGCAAGTATAGTACTAGCAAATGTCATTGAAGCTGATAAAGCAACATCTCCACCAAACATAGCTGTATACATATTTGATGCACCACCACCTGGTGATGATCCTGTTGATAATAAACCAATTGATGTTGATGAATCAAGTTTAGCTATTTTACATAAACCATATGATAACTAAATAAATAAATTTGTTTATTATTTTTATTTTAAATCTAATTAATTTCTTTTACTAAAGGTAAACATAAAAATTGACTTAAAAGTCCAATAAGTATAGGAATAGGTTGTCGAATATTAGTATAAAGATTTTGTGGAACAAGTCGACAACCAATTAAAAATGTTCCAATACAAACAAGTATAATAATAATAATTGTAAATATTGTATCAAGAATTGTTGTTTTTCTTTTAACAGCAATATCAATTTCAATATTATTTGTATAATTATATATTTGTTTTATTTCATTTAAATATTCAACATATAATTTTAATTGACTATAACCAAGTAGATTTCCATGAATTGTTAAATTAAATGTTAAATTTTGAAATTTATCATTAAATTTAATTAAATCTAATGGTAATTTTGTTTTTATTTCAATTGAACGTTTATTATCGATTTCAATTGATACATTTGCATAAATAATACTATCATTACTAGTACAATTTATTTGAAATAATATTAATACATCATTTATTGTATCATTTATATAGATTGGTGGAGATTTAATATGAGTTTCTGTTTGATTAATACAAGTTAATGAACATGGTGAACAATTAATAAAAGATAATATTTCAATTAGAAATAAAAATAATAATAACAATTTAATCAACATTATTATTTTTCCTTTCAACAATTCATAACATAGATATATGATATGTTTTCTTTCTTTCTACTTTATTGAGAATATAATTACAAAAGATTTCCAATCATATACATATTTAGACAGATGGCGTCAACCATCAATTTTATTCCTATTAACACATCTTTGTTGTTTTTTGATTCACTATTTATTATTAAATTCAATTATTCATAGATCTATACTTTTTTCTTCTCTACTATAATTGAAATTATGATAGAACATCTATCCATTGGACGTACATTTATCCTCAAAATAAAAAAGACAACAAAATGTAATTTTGATGTTTTTTTTTCTTACGATATGAACTCTTTAACCCTTACAAATTCAAGCAAGTTCTTCTTGCAATAGAAGGAAGATAATCATAAAAAATAGAGCTGATGGATCTACAGTATACTCATACTATAGCTAAAACGAAATACTTTATTCATCCTCTAGAGTTACGTAATGTCGTTTAATAGAAATCTTGGACCTTTCAAAAAAAAAACGAATTTCGATCGGAAATTTCGCCCTTAATCAGTTTATATGATTCTTAAATTTTCAGTTAGAATGGATACTTTGTTGTTGAAATATTGGGCGCAGAAAAAATCAGCAACATTTTTCAAAAAACTCACAAAATTCGACTTCTCTTCAACATGCGTTGTTGCTGCAAATTTAAGGAGAATTTAAATAGCGTATCAACTATTTATGAGCAAAATTTCTTTGTTTCAATTGTTTCTTGAGGCGAAATATACCATAGAAGGAATGTTTTCTTTATGATAGTGTCCTGCATGAGTCGAAAGGTTTAAAATTGACGAGATGGTTTCATCAAATACCTTAACAATATCGTTTAAAAAAATCAAAGTTGCATGTCGCTTATTATGAATCAAAAAAACTTCAAAAAAAGAAAAGTAATGCTAAAAAAATGACGAATCGTTCGGTTTAAGAATCACTTGAGAATTATATTTTCATCTCTGTATGTTCACTAAGGTTATCTCAGTTCAGAAAAATGTTGATTTTTACATATAAACTCTTCTAGTGGAATTTATTGAAATTATTTTTATGTCTCTTGGAAGGAATATTGGGCTCTTAAGTGTAATACTTTCAATGATTAATGAAGTTCTATATAGAAAAAAAAAGGTTTGATAGTGATATATCATTGATTAATTAGTACAGAAATGCTTCTCAAATATTCAACAGAGTAGTTTTCAGATCATAAAAGACTTTGTAAGAACTATTGTATTTAGTTCATTGAGAAAATATCATCTTGTAATAAGTGCTCTATGGAATTTTTTTTTCATAAAGAAGTTCATCGAACAACTATTGAAATGATTATTTCAAATTGAGTTCAATAATTGATATTCAAGAGAAAAATCAAAAATTATATTTGTCTTATATTTTTACTAGAAATTTTGTTCTACTTACGAGTTGTTTACTGAAAAATAAATATATGATAAATCTATTCTATTGCATAGATCTGTTAGAGTAGTATTTGTTTTATATTTTAAGAAGAATATTTTTTAATTTATTGATAAAGATTTTGAAGAAAACTTTTTTTTTCATACAAATGTTTTTCATGCAACAGAGCTGATTGTGTCTATTATAAAAACAGGACTGTATGAACTACTTATAGATATAAGAATACTAATGCAATACAGAGATGTCCATCGCGGCTGAAAATCTGCCGCTGCCGCGCCGCAACGGTTTATAAAAAAATGTTGCCGCGACGCTGCCGCACCGCGATGACTTATAAAAAAAACGCTGCCGCGATGAATTATAAAATAAACGTCCCGCGACGGTTTTCAAAAAAGTGTTTCTAATTTCACTGCTGTGACTATATTTGACCAGAGATATGGGTACTAGTCCATCAGATTTATTCAATATTAGGGCATTTCATTTGTAAATCCTGAAATTCTATTAAATTCATACAGTTTTTCAATGTCCTTCAAAAAAAATCCTGCCACTGTCGCCCCGCTGCTGCGATGGTTTTTTTTGAAAAAACCTGCCGCTGCCGCGTCGCCACCGCCATCGCGACAGCGGCAGCGCCGCGATGGACATCTCTGATGCAATATCACTTTTTCTTGTTTTTAAATAATATCAGTTCGAGAAATTTTTTTAACCCATCATCTTATTTAATGATAAAATTTCGAAAATATGGAAATTGTTAAAAAAAAAACTTTTTATGAGAGTAAATATATTTGTTTAGTTAATTTTAATATATTACATACAAAAAGTACATATAGATGAAAAGAAAAAGTCCAATTGTGTATTTTTATATTGTAAAAAATTGATATAATTTTGATCATTTGTTTGAATAAAAGTTATTGTTCTATCACATAATGAACATGTTTGACTAGAATCGAAACTTAATGGTATAAGTGTTCGACAACATCGAGGCCAAATATGTTTATTTGAACATTTACTATATAATAGATCATCTTTTATTATTGTTAATGAATTATTACATAATGGACACATAAATAAATTTGATAAATCTATATCTTCATCATTAGTACATATTTTATATATAATTAATTCAATATTAGAAAGTTTATCAATATTATTTGAAAAAAGAGATATTAATATATTTGATAATTTATTACGATAATATTCTAATAATTTATTTTCATTTAATTCTAATTCTTTTTTATTATTTAATAAACTATATAAACGACATAATCGTTGTAAATAAATATAATTATTATTTTCTTTTTCTTTTTTTTTTATTTGATAATTATTATTATTATTATTAGTATTTTTATAATGTTTAATTTGATTAAATAAAATAGCAAGTTCATCTGATGAACGCCATAATGGTATATCAATTTGTTTTAAAAAATGTTCAATTATATCATCGAATGTATTTATTTTATTTAATAACCAACGATGTAATTGACAATGTACAAAACCAAATTTAACATTAGGTGCAACTATTGGAGAATAATATATTCGTGCAAGAATATATTCATTTGTTGATAAATTAAAATCACGTAATAATATTGGTTTACGAGTACATGATTTTATTTGACCATTAACAATTAATTTCATATCGATTATTTTTATTGGTAATTGACGTGATATTATAAGAGAATGTATTGTACCATCTTCACAACCAACAATAATTGATATAAGATTTTCTGATGAATTACGTTCTTCTTCTTGAAAACCAATTATACATGAAGGATATTGACGACAATCAATTTCATTACAATCATAACTTGAACACTAAAACATATATATATATATATATTTAATATAAACATATGAATATCAATTTAATTCAAATAGAAAAAAAAAGAATAACAGTCTAAATTATTTACATATTATAATCATATTGATTATATTATTTACAAAACGAGACATTCTCAATTAGATATATCGAATATTAGAACACAAATTTTAATTGAAACAATTTTGCTGTCAATATTTTTTTTTTTGGTTCAATCAAATAAATTCAATGATTGAACATAAGAAACCGTCACAGGTCGAGAGCTGAGAGTCTACGTTTTTTGAAGCCAGACTCAAACCCGAAAAAAAAAATAGAATTTTTGACACGGACCTGGCGCTAGACAGATTCGCAGCTCTCTAATCAGAGGACAGACTTTATAAAATAATTTAGCATATGATAACAACTGATAATTGAATAATAATTGTGAATTTACTTTCAAAGTTAGTAGTTGACACATAAATCACAAAAATAATAAAAATTATCATAAAAAAAAAACCAATGGGACTGCAATAACATATATATACCTGTCAGAGATAAACGATGAATCCATGGGTGACCCCTCAATGTTGAAAAATTTTCTTTTTTTTTTCTCAGCAAAATTCCAACATTTTTCTTTTTGCATACTAAATCTCAAAACAATCTCGACTCCCTCCCCTGAAATCAGGTATCTTTTAAAAAAAAATTTCTCAATCAACTTTTTAGATGATTGTCCTTCCTCCCCAATCTTGGCGATCTCGGATGGATCACAAGAATAAAAAAAATCTGATAAAATTGACGTTAACTTGTTCAGAAAAGTATTTCTAAGAATTCTATGAAAAAAATATTTTGTTCTTCGTTTAGTTATCCTTAACTCTACACTTTAAAATTGATATTTAATACTAGTCACTATTATTTCTATTGAATGAATAGAATAAAGATTTATCTAAGTGGGTCGAATGAGATGAAAAAAAAATTATTGTCTAATAAGTATATTTGTTTCAATGAGTGAGAGTTCATTTTATAGACTTTATCTAGTTTTTCGAGAGAAGGGTGTCAATGATGAGAAAAAAAAGAGGCTATGGTTTAGAGATAGCTATATTTGTTCATGTATAAAAAAAGATAAGACTATTGATTCTCGAATATATTATTTGTTAATAAAGATTATAGAAGCAAAGATGTTCATCGCGGCGCGACCGCTACCACCACCGCGCCGCTGCCGCTGTGGCGGTGGTGGCGCGGTAGCGGTTGTTTTTTTCAAATAACCATCGTGGTGCGAGCGCGGCAGCGGCGCGGTAGCGGCATGGTTATTTTTGGTAGCGTCGCGGTAGGTTTTCTGTTTTTATCACCGCGATGCGGTAGCGGTGCGTTAGCTTTTTTCTTTTATCGTCGCGGCGCGGCAGCGGTCAGTTTTCAACCGCGATGGACATCTCTGTATAGAAGATAGAACGAACATACAACGATGCTCATTTGCTTAATAAAATAATTAATGATTAATGATCTACTGAATGCGTCATCTCGATGATTTTGCTAAAAAAACCAAAATCTTTCTAAAACGAAGAAAAAGAAAAAAGGTAAGTAGGACAATAGATAAGAATTGATTGATATGACAATAATCTGTATAAGGATATATATTATTTAAATTAATCTATTATTGATGAAGATAAAGAATTAGTTAATAGATGATTTAAAATAAGATATAAATATAACCTGATTATCTTGAATTGAAATGGTATAAATAAAACAATAATTAATTTTACTTTCAATTAATATAAGTGTATATTGATCTAATTGAAATAAAATCGAATGTTCAGCATTCATATAATCATTATGTTGAATATTAATATTAAATAATTTCATTTGATCTAATTTAATTAAAACACGTTGATTTTCTTTACCATTAATTAATAATATTTGAGATATTTCATTCCATGATATAGATAATGGTTTTGATATAAATGTATCAATAATAGCTAATGGTTTATCATTTAATATTGTTATTGGATTAAATTTCCAAATAATAATATGACCTGAATATTGTAATTGAAAAAATAATGTTCCTGTTTTATTCCATAAAATATGTGATGTTAAATGAAAATAAAGTAAACGATAATCTAATGGATTATTTGAATCAATTAAATAATTTTCAATATTAATATTATCAAATAAATATTTAGTTAAATCAATAATTAAATAAGATGATTGTGAATGAAAAAATAATTTTGATAATGATATAATATCATAAATAAAAACTTCATGTGCAGATGTTATTGTTGCTAATATTGTTTGACCATGATTTAAACGTATATCATATGGAGAAAATAAACATCGACGAAAACCTTTATATTTAATTGTATCAAATGATATTAAACGATCAAATGATGATAATGATATTGGACGATGTTTATATGATTGATATAGATTTGATAAATATTTTTTTTTAATTAATTCAAATAATATATATGATGTTGAATTAATTGATATTGAATTTGTTTGATCATTTGTTTCATATGGATATATTATTCGATTTATAATCATTGATGATAATGATGATGATATATTTATTGACGATGATAATTCACGTTGAAATCTTTCTGGTAAACATATTGTTATACCTTCTGATGTACAATATGCTATTTCACAACAAGATGATATACTTGAATTATTTTTATCATATATATGAACTTGTTCATGACTATATGAACTTAAGAATTCTAATTCATTTATTGAATTTATTCCATTTGGATTAATTGTAGAATTTGTTGAACATGTTGTTGATGATGGATAAGTTTTTTTATTTGATTTTTTCATTTTCTAAAATTAGGTTTTGTTTTATTTTCTTTAAATAATTTTTATTCTTTAATTTAAATTTTAACTAAATATGACCTTTTTATTTTGTTTTAAATAATATATAATATAGTTACATCTCGACATAATGATTCTTAGACTTTAATCATTTCATACTCATTGTTCTCTAAAAACATTTAACGATACATACAATTAACTATCAAATTCACTAAAAAATAGAATATTTTTTAACTGTGACTAATTTTTTTTTGTTGTCATAATATGTTGTCAAGTTTTATATTGATTATAATCGATATAGAATATTATATGAAGATTAGTTTTCTTTAGTTTATCAAATGGAAAACTCTTCTCAATGACTAATTTATATATATATATACGAGCAAACACAATCAGAGTTACAACTAAACATAAAACAATATGTTAATAAGTATTGTTTTTTTTTTGAAAATGGGAGATTAAGAGGGAAAAAGGGAGGGGAGTATATATAAACGAGAGAATAAAAGTAAAAAGGATACATTCAATAGAGTTTCACAAATACTAAAACTACATAAAAAAAAAAGTTCATCAATGGTTGATGTTAGAATAAATGTTGAGCTAATAAATAATTAATATTAAATTGAGATTGAAATCTCTAAATAATAAATTGAGTAGATAAATCATTTTTTATCTGTCTTAATATAACCAAAATTTTTTTTAAGTTGTTCAAGAAAGATAAACATTAAAATCGTATGTGGACCTATGAATAAATAAATATTATTTTTAAAATTTAAATAAACAAAAAATTTTTACCAAGACGTATAAAAGCTGGCATAAATCCTTTAAAAAGTCCAGCTGGACCAACTTTCATTATATCTTTAAAACAATCAAGTATTGAATTATATGTTCCTGGTGGAGCATTCATTAATCGAGTTTTCATAACATCTAATGGCATTGTTAATAAAGTTGCTCCAGCACCTTGAATAAAAAAACAAAAAAAACAACATTAAGTTTTTTTTGTCTAAAAATTTAAAAAAGAAAATTAACCAGCAGCAAAACTTGATGTAAAATGTGTTATAATATTATCTTGAAAATAACCACTAGCTAATAAAACTTGTTTAACTTGTTCATAAAAAGCAATTTGACCAACAGTAACAAAAGCTCCTCGAATAACAGCCATAGATGCACCTTTATTTAAATGAAAATATTTTTTTGTTTTTTTTTGTTAAATATTCTATATTAATAATTATTACCATTAAATAATTTTTTAGGTCCTTCTTCTCGACATATTCGAACAAGTCCATCAATAGCATGTTTATAATTTCGTCGATTTTCTTTTGGTAATTTCGGATCATTTTGCATACGAACATTAACAAGATCAGCAGGTGCACCTTTTAATAAATAATATTTTGTTTTTTTGTTTTTTTTTTATTAAATTAAATTTTAAACAGACCAACAAATGCTCCAACAGCTCCTGATACAGCAGCAAGGGATATTTTTTCAAAAAAATTTAAATTTGAATTTGGTCGAAGTGATCGAACACTTCCATATATAGCAAAACGTGTTGTTGTATATGTTGCTTGACGAAGACATGATGCTGATAAACCATTATAAAGTGCTAAAAATCCATCATCACGTATGACCTTAGCTGCCATTGCTAATCAAATTTTTTTTTGTTTTTTTAATTAAAAAAAAAAAACAATTATTTATTTAAAATGAAGCAAAAACAAAAAAATTCATATTTATTTACAAACAAGGCCATACTCAGCTCGTTGTTGAGTTTGTAATTGAACCTTTAATGTATCAAGTGGATGAGTACAACATGCAGCAAGTATACCAGCTAAACCACCAAAATACCAACGTTCTTGACGTACGGGTTCTTTTTTAACTGTTATTAATGGTTTTGTTTCTTCGTTTTTTTCCATTATAATAGATTATTAATAATAAGAATAAAATATCTATGAATGATTCTTAGGAGAATTGAAATTACATATACTGTTTAGCGAGGTCAACAACGTGCATGTATAACATCAATTGTCATGCCATCTATCTTACATATTCGATTGGTTGTTTTTATTAACCGACTGTGAATTTATTTTATGCAACGGTTTCGACTACATCAGTTATATGACAAATCATATAGAAACAAGTCAGTTGTCATATGTTTATTTATTTGTTGAGAAATTTCCCATCTATTGAATGATTATATATATATATTTAACAGGTTTTTTTCTGTAAAATTTTTCGAATAAAAACTTGATATAGATTTGATTATAAAATAATCATGAGTTTTTCTATAAAAAAATTGTTTATTGATTTATTGATATGATTATTTTCAGTGAGCATGATAAAAGGCATCAAATAAAAACATGAGTAATATTGAATAATGTCATTTATCAGTAGATTGATTATTTATCTTAAATATTTCCTATTTCGAAGAAGAGATAAACTAAATAAAAGAAAAAAAAAATGTTATAAAATTAGTTTAATATGTGATCTTATCCTTGACATAGTGTACTACATCATGAATAGATTCATAAAACTTTTACCTTTATTTATCAATGTTTTATGTAAGTAAAACAAAACAAGTATTCTTATCGTATATTATCATGTTTTTATTGTATATAAAAATCTTATTTTAAAATAAAATATTTTTACAAAAAAAAAAAAAAAGTAATTTAATTTTTTTAATTGATTTTTTTGTATTTTATAGTTGTTAAGGTTGTATAAATAAGTACTAAAGTAATGTCAACATCAACAATGGATAATAGTGTTGGTAATAATATTGTTTCAAATTCTGAAGAAAGACCTATTCGTAATAGTTCATTAGAAACCGGATTATCATTAACAAATAATCGAATATCATTATCATCAAATGATAATAATGAACGAACATGGATAAATTCATTTATTGATTTTGATAGAATATTATCTGGTAGTTTACTTCATATATGTTATCGTTTAATTGATATAATTATACTTTTATATGGTTTATCATCAACAAAAACTAAATGTTATAAATCAAATCGTTTAGTTATTACATCAATATGTTTATTAATATTTTATTTAATTGATTTAACAATAATTATTTATTTTATTTTTCGTAATCATACATCAAATTATAGACGATTAAATGAAGAAGAAAAAATAGAAAGACTTCGACGTATATCAGCTTTACGTGGTTTTTTTATTTTTTTTAAATTAATACCTGTTTGTTTTGGTACAGCTTATACATTAACATCAAAATTACCAGAAACAAATAATTGTGAATTAATAAGATTTTGTCTTGGAATTGTTTGTATAAGTACATTATTAATTATGGTTATACCACCAACTAAACCAGAATTACCTGTAAGACGTTCATTAATTGTTGAATCATTTATTCTATTATGGATATTAATTATTAATATAACATATATAACTACAATTGGATCATCAATGAAAAATGTTAATCAATCATCATGTATATATTATAATACAGAAGATATTTATTTAAGTGCACCTTTAAAAACTTATGGATATATTGGTATAATATTATTTTCTATTACAACATTATTACATTTAATTCATTTATTAATAAGTCAATTATGTAATCGTTTAACAAATGGACGTCAATTATATGTTTATTATTATGGTTTACAATATTTATTTACTTATTTAGGTGCACTTATTCTTGTTTATTATTTTTCAATTGGAGCTTTATTTTTATTTCAACCAAGATCAGGTGGACTATGTCGACAACAAGCACCTCATCTATATAAAACTTTATTAATATGGCAATGGATACGAATATTATTTCCATTATTGATTGTACCATTAATATTAATATTATGTTGTTTGGGAGTTTTCTTTGGATTTATTTTAAGTTATTGTTTACCAGCATCAATAACTGTTCCAATACTTGAATTACTTCGAGTAAGATAGAAAATAAAATAGATTTTTTTAAAATTTCTTATAAATTTTTATTATTATTTAGAGTTGGTTAGCAGCATCACCTGTACCAATTAATCCAAATCCTCCAGCAACACAAGAAAATATTGATGCATTACCTGTTATTTTATTTGGTCAAGAACCTGATCAATTTAATCAAACCGAATGGTACGACCGACAATTTTTTTATTCGAAAAATAAATCATTTTTTTTTTATTTTTAGTGCGATTTGTCGAACAAACTTTGAAGCAAATGAACCCGTTAAAAAACTTGATTGTGCACATTTATTTCATTCTGAATGTGTTACTAATTGGTTACTTATAACACGTTTATGTCCCGTATGTCGTCGACGTATGTCAACGACAAATTAGTTTTACATTATCTTTTCCTTATTAATTATGAACAGTGATTATGTGCTGGGGCTTTTTTTTTCTTCGGATTTGGAAACATACACATATATATATATGTATGTGTTTTCTCAATAGATATTCATTTTTGCTTTTTATTCCAACAAATAATTTGTAGTCGGTGATGATGTGTGTTTGTTTTTCTTGACCTCATACGTATATATATATATATATTGAACGATGTATGTCATTAAAAACCTATAATTCTTCCAAGTTTTATAAAAACAGAAAACTATTTATTATGCTTGCTGTATTGTATTATATTAAAATATATTCTCGAGTATAGAAACAATAAAGATTTATTCGATTTTTTTATGATCAAAGTAAATATAAATTAAATCAATATGAATTTTGTTTTTTTTTTTTTGTGCTCCATATTTGAATTTTTATCGAATCTTCTATTATAAATTGTATAGAATTCAATGTGAACAATAAAACGATATCTAATACTGTTAGTCTTCATTCTGCACAAATGTTAAGAACAAAAAAAATAAAAAAGTTTTTTCAATCGAATAGTTATGTAAAATGATAAATAGATGTTTTTCGTGTAGAAAATAAAATTAAGTTGAAATCACTTTTCAAGTCAAATAAAATAATAATTCTTTACAATGAACAAGTTAAATAAACAAACAATTGTTTGAGTTAACATATTACTATTCAAAATGAAATCAATTTAATTGATTTTCTTTCTAATAAATATCTTGTTATATAAAACAGTTCGATGATAATAAGTTTATCTACTATTTTTATAAGATAACAGATAAATATTAAATATATTTCTCGAATATTTTTATATATTAAATATAGACAGAGATTACTTTCAAACGATGAACAGAATTGAAATTAATTATTTGACTTCCAAAAAAACAAAAACAACCATATAGAACAAGACTAGAATCATATAAGAATAATTATCCGATTCTATCAAAAATAGACTCTTCACGAAAGGATTAAGTAAATGTTCAATTCTTATTTTCTTACTCATCAAAGTATATCTATTATTAAATTAATCAAACAAGAAATTATTGAAATGTGTCATTTCTTGATAATTTGTTTTGTTGTTCAAGTGAAATAGATTGCATAAACTTTTAATTGTTTTGTAAATGATGATAAACGAAAATTAGTTTTCAGGTTGAATATTTTCATATTTCTCAAATTTAACTAAAACAACGATCATTAATAAAGAATGAGTTTAACTGTTCTATAATCATTATTCAAGAGATTATCGAATTGATTAATTATTTTATTATCACATCTTATTATAGAATTAATCATTCTATTATTTTATTTCATCATATCAACGTTTTTTTTTTCTTTGTTAAACATGAACTAAAACGAATGTTTGAAGATATAAAGGAGATATTGGTACTCTCCGTCTCTTAAACAAATACGTGTACTACTATCTCAATGTCACGGACAGTGATAGATAAGTTAGAAACAGTTCATCACAGCAATGATGCATCAGATATGTGACAAATAACTTAATAATGCCCCCTCTTCATGTCATAGACACCATAGCAGTACTCATCTTTCCTATGTCACATATTGTGATAAATATTGCTGATATACAATAAATAACCGTACATCAATAACGTCTCTTTATAATAAATGAACAAGTTGATTATTGCATTTTTTGAGGATTATGTAAAAGAATAAAAGCTGTTAGCGCAATCCCTTGCGGGATTAAAAATGTGAAACACGATGGACCTACTGTTACTAATTAAATGGAAATCCTTTTGTTCCATTTCCTTACGACATATTTGTAGCTGACCGTATATTTGATGGTTTACAGCTACAATTCCTGTGTCACGGTCTGTGACGGGTACCCCGGTTCTCTGTCACGGTCTGTGATGGGTACCTGTATTTTCTGTCACGGTCTGTGATGGGTACCTGGTTTCTCTGTCACGGTCTGTGA